TCAATGGGGCCTGGCTTAAAGACAATGCAGGCCTTGATGGTCATAGTTTGAGTGGGTACCCAAAGAACCACCTGTGGATCAGGTCCAGGGGCGGCAACTAATGGGGATCATTCAGGTCACTAGAATCCATCCTTCTTTAATGGTATTTGTCTCCTTCCATTCCATTTTACTTATTTGAGGTAATTTTAAGATCAAAAGTGAGCTAAAATTATTCCTGTGCTGGAGAGTCAACAAACTTTTATTCTATTGAAAATTCAAGTTTAATCAGAATATGTCTTGAGCAAGATGAGTAAAGCATACAAAAGACACAATGTAGCTTATTCTTACAGCCTGCCAAATTGATCCTGAACATTTCCAAAAAGACAGAATGTTTTGGCCTTGGCATGAGTCGTGAGATGGCAGTATACAGTGGTGGTGCCAGAAAGACACCAGCATTGGCTTGTGCTGTTCTGTCTGGGTGCTGCAGTTTAAAAAATAATCATGCTCCTTGTGCTTTTAGTCCCAGGCTGTGTAGTTTGTTTCAGGTTCCATTAGTTGGCTTAAAGTGGAAGTTTAAGAATGTCTGAAACAAATCCGATTCTGCCTCTCCTGCCATGTCAGGTCATGTAACATTGTTAGTTTCTGTCACATCATTTTCTTTGAGCCTGAAGTTCTATATTATTTGTTAAATTCCTTGTGGGGCAGGCTTTAACCTGCTAGTATTGGACTTAATTGCTGGTTTGACTAGAAGTCCATTCTAGCACTACATAGACATACAACAGAAGGAGTATTGACATGGCTGACATCACTTTTGGCTGCCTCATTCTGTTGCTGAACTGTAAGCCTGCTCAGAAAGTTTCCATTCAGAATCTCTGATTATTGCCCCATGCAGCCTTGACAAGATCTGGTGTTCCATGACAGCATCACGCTCAGCTTTCTGTAGGCAAACTTTATCTCCTTTTATTGGTTTGAAACAAAGAAGCAGTGCTGTCTTGCCAGACTTTGAGATGTAAGTTTCTTCTGTTAAAGCCTGAAGGGTATTTGAAGCTCTGATGATGAGTTGCAGAAATGTGCATGATCCTGGCACATTTTTTAAAGAAAAAAGTTTCCAATGTTTTAAGACATATGTAAAGTTCTGATTTTAAGTTGCATGCTCAAAGTGTGGCCTGGCCATAGTCAGTCCATGAGAAACCTGCAAACTGCTGCTGAGTACTCCTGAGTCTGTCTGCATTCATTCAGTTGCCATTTTGTACCAGTTGTGTGAAATCAAAGTTGGGGTTCAAATTCCTAGTGTCATGAACCCATACTTGTCATGGTGCAAAGTGGGCTGTCATTCGTCACTGGGCCCAGACCCCTGTAACATGGAACTGAATTAGCTCCCTGTTAATATGTGACAGCCCCCTGTTGGAGCAACAGTCTGCAACATTTTGTTGATGGTTAAAGGAAATAAAAAAGACTTGATCCCAGTGTGGACCTGATGTCACTGTTGGCCTTCACCCATCTGGAATACACTCATTAGGCATTTATTTGTTTAACTGCTCAATTTTTCGGCCACACAATTAAAGTCTAATCCAAGTAAGTCTCCTGAAATCTGCACTGCACAGCAGTTATTTGCATATTGCAATCTGCAACAGATTGTTTTTGTGTCAGGAAATGCCATCACATGTTAAGGAACAGCATGAATGTGCAAAAAATGTGACAGTTCGGGCTAAGTTTTGATTCTAAATTGATTATGCAGGATTTGTGGGCATGTGACCAATTACATGCAGCAGTTCAAGCCTTAGCACAACACAAGCATTTTCATTTTTTATCTTGCTTGATAAGAGGCAAAAGCAAAGTTCAGGCCTACATGAAGCTGTTTGGAGATGTCATACTTCTATTAAGCAGTAATTTTATTAGAAAATCCTATTTTTGAAATCCCAGTTTTGTTTTTACTGTGAGAAAGTGATTTTTGAAAGCCTGTTGTGGTCTTTATATTAAAGACCCAGTCAGATGAGAGCAAATCAATGCTAAATGAAATGGGCGCAATCATATTACAGTTATTATGTAAGAAAGAGGTGACCAAAGCTATAGACAGCACTTGATAACTCAAAACCTAACCCTACTGTGAGTGTGCCACCAGCCATCCTTTCAGTGTGAGTGACCCAGTGAACAGCTTCCGACAGCATATGTAGCTCATGTCATGCCTCAGCATCTGCAGCTCATGCCATGCCTCAGCATCTGCAGCTCATGTCGTGCCTCAGCATATGCAGCTCATGTCATGCCTCAGCATCTGCAGCTCACGTCATGCCTCAGCATCTGCGCTTGGCCTTTTTCAGAGGACGCTGATAGCTGAGACGACTTCTGGTCCGCCGAGGCAAGCGAAGCGTGACCCCCTTCAGCCTCGAGGCACAGGTGAGTGAGCGCACGAGACCGCTGCGGGTCGCGCCGCCCACCCGTCCCGCCGCCTACTGGCTGCTCTGACCGGGCTGTCGCCAAGCTGTTGAATCAGCCAAATAGGCACGGGCCCACCGTTTCGCCGAAGATGGCGCAAAATGGCCAGCGTTGTCGACGCTCCTCTAGACCGTGAATGGTGTGAAAAGGAGATCAAAGTGAGCATAAAAAGGTTTTTAAAAAAGTTTCACCGTTGTGGCACGTGCGCTCGCCACCAGGCGCCTTCTACGGAGCCAACGCTGTGGGTCTGTGGGCCGACCGGCGAGGTATATGAATGTATGAAAAGGATATCAAAGTGAGCATCAAACGATTTTTAAAAAAGTTTCGCCGGTGTGGCACGTGCGACCGTCACCAGGCACCTTCCACGGAGACAACGCTGTAGGTTTGTGGGCCGACCGGCAAGGTGTATGAATGTATGAAAAGGATATCAAAGTGAGCATAAAAAGGTTTAAAAATGTTTCACCGGTGCGGCACGTGCGCTCGTCACCAGGCACCTTCCACGGAGACAACGCTGTAGGTTTGTGGGCCGACCGACGCGGCACTTGCGCTCGTCACCAGGCACCTTCTACGGAGACAACGCTGTAGGTTCGTGGGCCGGCCGGCGGGGTGTCAAAACCGGACGGGCTCGATTCGTGACCCGCGCTAGGCGCCGTCCCATAGACGGCACGGTTGCATGGCGGGGGGCTGGTGCCCGCTTCCACTGCATACAACGTGGGCAAGCCTGTTGTGGTGACGGCGTACTGGCGGAAATGCAGTCACGCACTGCAAAGTCACGCTCGTGTTTGCTGTGTACCCGTTGTCGGTGTTTGGAAGCCGAGGTGGCGCATATGTGGCTGGAGTCATGACCGTTAGGAATCTCTTGAGTCGCCGAGTTTTAAGGGTGCGTCAACTGCACTGCTTATTTGCCGTTAGGAATCTCTGTGAGCAATGCACGCCATACTTATCGGGAATCATTGCCCGA